CTCAACCTTAGCCTTTGCCTCGGTGGAAAAATCCCACTAGACTACATACGTGACTTTTGGCAGGTTTAGCCCCTGGGCAAACAGGAAATCTTACAGAAAAAATAGCCCTTTGTGCTAACCACAGGGTCACGGGATCTGGAGCAGGAAGCAGGTGGTATTTCCCTGTCCTACTTGCCCCTAGGGATTGTGAAGTTAAAGATTGCATAGGGTTAATTGTTGATGTACACCTTCCCACTTACCCCTCCCCACATTTGGTAAAATACTGATTGCTGTATGCTGCTAAGTGCTTTGTCCCTTTATGGTTAAATGCTTGAATGACTCATGTGATTGGTAGAAGATTTGTTTGAACTGTCCAATAAGCTTGCTGAACCTTCCCCCTGGGATAACAGTATATAATCGTTTTGCTGAGCCAATAAAGCGCCTTTGATCAGAAACCAGACTTGGGCCGTGTACTCTAACTTCTTAAAGATTTCCTTCACAGACATTCAAGATCGGATCGGCCTCTGATGACCCACGAATAAGAGGCGGCTCTCACCTCCTATTCCCCGCGAGACGGGGTCCCCCCAGAGAGCCGCAGTATTCAGCCATTCAACACTACAGTTGAGTTCATCTCCACTAGAGAATTAGCCATTGCTGCTAATACTGTGGGAATATCAACAGCTACTGTTTGTCCAAGGCAGAGTTCTCTGTTAAGGTTTGTCCAAGAAAGGATCCATATCTAAGGACACATGATTACCGCCAGCATCCAGTTCCTTGCTGGCTACAGGACTGAGATCCTCAGTTCCTTACTTTGTGTATATTATTCTCCATATGGCAGCTCATAATGTGGCAGTTGGCATCTTCAAAGCCACCAAGGGAGAGTCTCTTAGCAAGATGGATGTTACGTTCTCAGGTAATATAATCACGCTTGTGTAATCATGTACATCCTGTCACATTTTCTATATATTCTATCGGTTAGAAGCAAGTCACGGGAACTACCTATGTTCAGAAGGAAGAAATTACAGAAGGGCACGGAAACCACAGGGGAGGCTCAGGGAACTCCATCTTAGAGTCTATGCACTACCAGTTCACGAAATATTAGACTCTGGTAAGTTCACAGAAGAAAGGTTACGTTAGCCACAATGATCAGGAGAGGGTATTTCCAGCAGAAGGCACAATATCCCAGAGTTCCAGAGACTGGAAGGATCTTAATAGGTTTAAGGAAACAAAATAATGTCACGTGACTGGGCCTGGTGAGCAAAGGGTAAATGGAGGAGAGAGGGGAGGTAGGAAGTTTATACCAGAAAGCCAAGGGGAGACAAGGAAGGATCTTGCCTGGGAGAGCGTCACATTCAGGCTCATGTTTTGAAGAATCACTTTA